AAATACCTGATCCTGCTCGGAGACGGAGTTGGCGCATGTTCCGCGATGACAGGTAGCACGGATCTAAAATTGTCGGTCGGACGTAAATACCTGCAGTGCGTGATGAGAGTCTCCAGACTAATTTCTGTCTGTATGGTGTTTGTTCTTGGGCGTTATACTTGCTCAGTATGGCGCCCACTGCCCCATGAGTAGTACAGAAACTTTCTTCAGAGATCTAAAACGCAATAGAGAAATTTTAAGGATCAGATAGTAAGATAAATTATAAAATAAGTATGGGCTTACATTGCATTTCTCTCGGAGTCCCATGGCAAATTGCATAAGTTCATCTTTCAGCATCTGATAAGATGACTTAATGGATGTATTATGCGAAGATGGGCTATCGGTAGACACGGTGGCGTCCGTATTTGTATTCAATCGATGAACAGTAGCATCCAAGTAAGTATAGAGTAATACTAGAGCCACCTCGGATGGTCTGAGGCTTGCACAATTACCATTGCAAGCAACCATTTCCAATCTAAGGATCAATTCGGATTCCTGAAAGGATCAATATTGTAAGCACGCCATTTTGATTGTATAATTTTCATCTTAATAAGAATGTATTTATAAGATTAATGTGTAATGATGTAACAAATATTTCAAGCTTTACTAAAGCTTCATCTTTATAGTGTTAAAAAGCATATACATTTTTTTCTAAATCTCACAAATAATTATATAAAAATGATGATTCACCTTGACGATACTGGTATACACGTCGCCGAGATGCATCTGTTTCGCTACCGCGTAAAACATATTATTGAACAGCTGTAAAAAAGTCAGGGTGGTAGTAGGCTGAGTGCCGGGTGCCCATTCCAATTTATTCCGTATCACCTCCGCCATGCGCCTCAAGTCATCAGCAGTGCATCTACACTGCGAAATGGAGACTAGATGTTCGGCATCTATGGACTGCATCCGTTGGATGGCGGCTAAATAAAAAGATGACACGCTGATACAGGCCATATGCTTTTGCCTTGCTTTCATCTTAGTCAAGAAACGGTCCATCAAATTGATCGCGATGAAGAATACATCCGACGACAGGTCGTACATCACTTTCAGACATCTCAGTACATGAGCGGATCTGTCTCGAGCACCGATCGTTATTTCATCATCCTGCAAAACATGCAAACATTGACCGGTTAAATAAATATTAAGTGATATTATTAATCTGTACTCTCTGAAGTGTAAAAGCACAAAAATTTTATCACATTGAATCCCGTGTTAAAATAATATGTTATAGACAAAGAAATTCATCATACTTTTGTTGAATTGCTGTTTATAAAATCTCAATATGTTTTCCTTTACACAAGAACAATTATCACCTGAGTTGTAATAGGTAATTGATGGAGGTCCGGTTGAAATTTGACCTCCTGGACGAGGTTTAGAACTAGGTCCTCTTGCAATTTTTCGAGCGGAGGGATGGCATCCGGTACAGGCAAGCCCGTGTCCATTCCTGCCGTGTGCGACATCGCAACAGCTAACTACAACAATCCGACTACGACAACCCGGCAGCCAGAGATGGCTGATGTAGTGTGGCTGATGAGAAGAACCACACAACAAGAATGGCGCAGCTGGCTAGCCTTGTATCTGTAAACAGAATGTAAACAGTGAGAAAAAGTAAATTTGACACATCCAAACAAATATCGTTAACGAAAAAACAAAATTCTTATTTTATAATAAAGATTTTATAGAACGATACATATTGCTCTTAAATTTTTATGAAGTAAAAAAATATGCTAAAATGTACAAATGTTTAATAATGACGTAAATTTATCCTAAACAAAAATCATTCTACACATTGCAAAAAGTATATTAAATAATTATAACAATTCCATAATTATATTTTTAATTTATGTATCTCATAAAACGAATAATATTTAATGAAAATATTTCAGTTTCAATTCATAGTTGAATCAAACTTCTTTTTTTGATGAACGATGAAACATTTTTTCAACGATTTGCAAGTTTGTGCGAATACTCGCATGCATGGCGATTTGATTTCTCCATTCGCGCCTTCAACGTTGAAATAATTGCATCATACACGTAACAGACGCATTATTGTGCAAGATCGACTGAATCTTTTTTCTCTTTTAGCAGCGTTCGCTTAAGGACGACAAACAAATTCTATATGCCAGCTTTTTATGCATACGCGACTTAATTGGAAAGAGACAGTCTCAAGGATGCACTGTTCTGTAAAGTATGTTTCTTGGATTTTCTCTCTCTTTCTTTCTCTTTCCCTCGATTACCTTCAAGCAAAGCGAGAGAGCGGAGCATATCAAGTATATGGAGAAAAAGAAAAAAAAAGAAATGAAACATAACGCAGAAACGATGGTGATTGAATGTCGACATCACGGTCAGATTAAAACAAGCATGCTTTCAAAAACGAAAATGAAGATTGTAGAGTTTCAAGGAAGATTTCTATTCCAATGGAATAAAAAAACAGCTGACAGTCAGAATTTTATCTAAATCTGAGAAGTCTGAAATGGCTCTCCATAAAACTTTGTTATAAAAAATATTCCAATAATTACGATGTCATTTTGCATTTTGCATGTATATAAAAATTACATGTACATAAAAATATTAAAAATACGCTACTTTCTGAATCTATCATTATCAGAAATACAAATATCAAAATTTCAAGTGCTTAAAAAATACAGAAATTGGACTCGAATGATTTATGATCGATACGATAAAAGGCAAGACGAAAAATGCGTCATTTCCAAATTAAGCAAAACATCGTTTATCGACAATCTTGTGCGATCTTGACGTCATCGCAAAGATAAGCGCATCCTCCGATAAAAAATGACGCGTGTCGAAATTTCTGCGTCGTTTTCGAATCGGTGGACTGTGATCGATTGACGCATTGATCACGAATCGTCCGAAAAACAATAAGATAATTGTTCTCCTTTTCCTCATCGAAAAGCGTTCACAAAAGATAAAAATAAAATGCGAGATCAAAAGTAAACAAGAACAAGAAATGTCAAAAAATAAACTCGAGATGTTGCAAGCTACCTGACCAATAATATCAGATCGATCACTTGCGTTTGGCTTAATGTTTAAGATTTAATTAAAAAAAAAATGTTACATCAGAAAAAAGATTCTGCTTTAAACAAAATAAAAATAAATAAAAATAAATAAAAAGTTAATCTGGATTTAATTACTTTTTATCTTTTATTGCTTCTTAGAAGTAGATAAAAAATAAAAACAAATTTAACTTAAATTTGACAGAAAAATTTATGTGGACATTTATTCTACACGTGAAGCTTCTTTCGAAAATTTATTCACCATTCTGACAAATACAGATTATTCTCGAAATATATGATAACTGGAGACTAATATGATTTGGAGGAGAGGGGGGAAGAGAGAAAGACAGAGGATATTTAAGCTCGTGTCTCTTTCAGACCGAGCAACCAGAATATTACAGAGTTTTCACAATGATGAAAGAAACACATGTATTACATGTAAAAATTTCGCAGAAAAATAATAATTTGTTAGTATAGAGTGTCGTGTATATATATATATATATATAATAACTATGCGTCTGACATGATTATATTACATAATCATGTTATAGCTAAATAATATAATGTACAAAATAAAATTTAGTTACGCTAAATAGGATTCTTGAATCAATCGCATTTCTATCGCTAAGAAACAAGTACTTTTTGTTACAAGAATTTTTATAACACACACACACACCACACACACACACACACACAAAACTTCGGATTTGTTTCTTGTATTATTCGTATTATATATATAAAATATACATTATTATATATTTATATAAGTACATTATATACATATAATGTAAATACGTGAATTTAATGAACGATCAAAATGAAGCATTTTTGCATCATAAGTTAAAGGTTATTGCGTCATCGTTATACATGCTGCGCGAGTTCAACGCACCCATGGTCCAACGTAAATGTTTATCGATTTTTGAATGTTACACGTGATAGAAAATATAAATTCTAGCTGTCGGTGACATGAACGCAAAATGAATGAATTGTCCAATAAATAAAAATAGCGATAATAAAATAAAAATTTGATGAATTGTAATAACACGACCAATATAATTAATTTTCATTATTAATAAAATAATGTGACCAAAGTAATTAATTTTTCACTTAGTTTTTCAACTTGATTAAAAATCGAGTTGAAATCGAATTACAATCTTCTTTGTCACTTTTTCCCAAATAAATATTCAACATAGTGCCTTGTGGCAATCTTAAAGTTCGTCAAACAACTGAGACAAAGCCAATTTTAATCAGCCAATATTTTTAGAATTTCTACAAGATACTTCAAATAATATAAATCAATCGACAAAGGAACTAAATTTTCAGATCTGCTGATCAAATTAACTTGATGACGAAATATTAACTCGTCTATGGGAAACAGCTCGGACAAAGGGTTAAGGGTTAACGATTTTTATTAACATGACGAAGATGAAACCTCCAAACGCTCCGTTTGGAGGTTTCATCTTCGTCATGTTAATAAAAATCGTTTGAACATTAATGTTTTTCATTACAATTTTTTTATTATCTCGATTTCATCAGGAACGGATGAAGGAAACGATAATAATAATCGATTATAATTAAAGTACAATGATTCGTGTCTCACTTTTCACATAAACGTCCGCGATAATTGAACGTTTGATCGATCGAATAGCAAAGTAGTTTTTAAATTCCTCGGGTCAAAATATCGGTGGTTCTCTATATGCCATCAACAAATGGAAGACTTGAACGCAACGAGTCTCCTACAACTTTTTTCTCACGCACAAACGCGCGGGATTAACGCGCGATCGGCTGCGAACGACTCGATTCAAATCAGGGGATAATTCAGATAATTTAGAAAGCAAGGCTCTACTCTCTCTCTATTAGGTTGAAAAAAATTCTACGCTGAGTACTACGCGTATTTCGCGAGGAAATAGACGCGAGAATAGAAGATAGAGAACGACTCCGAACTGATTGACCGAAATGTCGAGGATTTTTCTTTTTTTTTCCCTCCATTATTCGCAGTCGTGAACGAACCGCGATTAGATCAATCGCAAAGGCTTACCCGGATGCGTCCGAAACGCCTTTAGGTCTTCGTATCACCCAATTTTGGCCCGCGTTTTGCTTCTCGGTCCAGGAGAATAAACAGAAACAGAACCAGGTACTACGCCGACTGACGGTTGGTCGAACAATAAATGATGGCCTGTCCTCCTCCGGCCCCACCAACTTTCTTATTGCGTCGTTGATTCAGCTGATCTTCGTGCGCCAATCAGCGTGTTCGAAAACAAGCTGGGCTACTATCATTGAAAAAATCAAGTTGGTAGCATTGGAAGTCATTAGCGCCGCATTTAAATCGAACTGTGCATCTCAAAAATTTCGCTTTTCGATAATTATTGAGAAAAATGAATTTTGTCAAAAAAAAAAAAAAAAACATTACGACGCAAAAGAAATCAAAAGTTTTCATGCGTCACAAATGCAGTACGCTATGTAACATAATTTGAAATATTTAAATCGAATCTTGTTTTTAGCCTATTAATTCCTACATATTCTATAATATATTCTATTAATATATCTCTCATATATCTCTATTAATATATATATATATATATATATATATATATATATAATTTTTGTATTTACTTATGTATTTTTAAAATCGATTTTGTGAACACTAAGAATTTATACTCTTTTTATGCTTGCATATCTCTGCCTTATCTTCTGCTTATCAGCCAATGTATATGCGACGAAAGAAACAAAACGTGATGCTAACAATTATTAAACTTATTATTCACATAAAAGAAGTCCAAATTCATCTTCAATACAAATCGATTACTCGTGAGGAAAAATTCTATATTCCACATTCGATAATTGTAATTATTTAGAATGGATTAATAAAAATAACATAGATCGGCAATCGAAAAATGATGAATGAAATCGAAATTAAGAAAAATAAAATAATTTTAATGCCATTACAGATTAATGAAATTCTAATTATATATAAATTTAAATATATTTAAGAATCTTTCAAAATATGTCAAACACACAATTACACCATTCTCAAATAAAGATTTACCCTGCAAATGGAACCAAATAACAGTAGATAACTTTTTATGTTTATTTATCCCGATTAATATCTTACATACAATCCTGTTGCAATGGTTTATATACAGTGCTGTATTTTCTGAAGAAATGTGGAAACAAATATAAACTGTATGAAAATTATCTAGATTTTCTTTTTCTTTTGAAGAAATATATAAAATCTTAACATGTATATAATATATATATATAGGAATGCCATTTCGTGACACATTACATTAGCTGTATTTCACATACTGCATCAACGAACAGCACCAAAATTGCACACATCAAGGCGTGCAACGATGTTACATAAGTGTATGTCGGTATTAAAAATTGTTCTACTCTCGAAAATTTCTCTTAGCATCACGCTTTCCAAGAAAAATAAAATGATATTGCAGTTTTTAAGAAAGAATATCTAGTCGGATGACCGACGAACGCAGAGACGTTACTCGGACTTCGGCTTTGTGTCCTCTTTGTAATGCAGTAACACAAGAGAGAACAGAAATACTCCAGCCATCATGGAGAACGCGCTTATGTAATATGGAAACGCACTCGGTATAAAGCGTTCATACTGCGTATGCTGTAGTGGACGCACTGAAACTTGTGTGGTGCTGTAGAGATGTGTCAGTCCGACGCGCGTATAATCCACCTTGAACTGATATACTCCGTACACATCGGGGATCTTGAATCTTCCCTCGTAACGACCATTGCCCACTGGCTTCATAGTCATACGCACGAACGGATCGATCCGTACAAATTCCAACTGCAAATCATTCGTCTCATAGGGCACCCACTTGCCGTTTGATAGTCGCTCGACTTCGATAGAGTACACCACATTATCCATAATTTTATATGCGGCCGGTGGTTGCGTCTCGCCGACCCGATGATGGTGAACAGACGATACGCGTATGACACCATTCTCCTTGAATACCCATTGTGCCATGGCCTTGGCTACCATCTGATTACCTGATTTTTCATATCTTTGGCCACCTATAATTTATTTCTTTTTTAAAAACTTTTCAATAATTAATCAAAATAAAAATTGATAATTACATGATTGAGTAGAATTTTTATGCTGTGTGTGTGTGTGTGTGTGTGAAGTTTTTGAATTTATTTTTATTATGTTTATTAAATAATTAGCAATAAAAGTTAATGTTTCTTGAATTTATTTAATAAATCCAAAAATTATAATAAAGGGAGCATTAAAAATCCCATTAAACATGTAATGGAATTATCTCATTTCTTTTAAATACCAGTTTAATTATATTTATTAATTTCAAAAAATTTGTTTTCCTTTTTTCTTTACAAAAAAATTTGGTTGTTTTATTATCCTTCTTCTTACCTTGTCCTTTTTGAATAGGACTGGTGAATGCTTCATCGCTGAAGAAAAATAATGATCCCGAGAACAAAACTCGAGCATTATTTCTTGCCTGTAGAGCTGCTATCAGTAATGTATTTTTGCCAACACCATGTGGATATTCCTTTACTGGTTGATCTGGATAATAAGTATATGCTGAAGTAGAAGCTGATAATAAACGTAAAATTAAAGGATTGTCTGTATCTGCAATCAAGCCAGTTCCCTGATACAGCAATGGAGGGATATTTTTGCTTCCAACAATAACGGGTGCATCTATCAGATTTGCTGGATCTGCTACTATAGTAGTATGTTGGCCACTATCAGAAACATCATAATTCATATGATCAATTACAGTGGAACCTTCCTCATCTATTTCTAAGCCACATTCCGATGCCAATTCGTGTAGAGCATCACCGGACTGTGAGGAACCAGCAACCAGAACATTTCCACCGCCATCTATAAATTCCGTTATTGCATCTACGCTCAGAGCACCACCAAACTCTTCTACTGTAGGTGCAAATATAATCAGATGCTCATATAAATATTCGCCATATTTAGAGAGCTGCAAAGTTGCATCATCAGCTGACTTGAAAGTCAGGATATAATCATTATCTAGAACAATTTTAAAATTATGAATTCAACCAAGTTATCCCAGTGATTAAATTTTATTTTTCGCTGTATAAATAAAATTGACTTTAAAAGTCAAAGAACACATTTATTTCATAACGACAAGCAGTGTAAAAGCGTTTTTCAAAAATATTGAAAATAAATCAATATTTTAGGTTTTGATATGATTATCTTAATATTCAAGAAAATATGGATATATTTGTTATTAATTATTAATCTCCTACGTCCTCGATACAGTGATATTTCATACATGCATTTAATTCCATGCATTCAACTGACTTAATGTAACGCTCGTAAGAAATGCCGCTAGGAGCAGTCTAGATACGACAATTAGAAAAGTAGATTTTTTGTCGATTACCCTGTAATGTCTTGAAAAATATCGAATGAGTTTCCTTGATCGCGAGATTGTCGAGAAGAACAAGGGTTGGGCCCCCGGCATTCGCGCCGGCGAACATAAGGAACAAGCAGAATAACCTCTTCACAAGCTTCATCGCGCATCACTTGTGACGACGACACTTGCCACGGGAGACACGAGATACGTCGAATGTCGTACTCGTTGAGTTGGTACGTACGTTCACAAACGCATAGAAAGCGAACTTCAATGAAGATCATTCGTTTTTTAAGTGATTTTTCGGAACGCGTCAAAATGTCGCTTGTGGAAAAAAGCTCCTGTTACTGATTGGTTAATTAAATATTAGATTTTTTTTTGACAGACGGTTCATTGAAAAGTTTCTAATCATCAGCCGAATGTGAATGGGACGTGTCCACCAATTGTAACGTGGTCAAACGGAACGCTTTCAGATGTTATGTTTCGTTAGAACGCACCTCAGTGAAAATGGATGGCGCCCACATTGCCAATTGGCCAATTTAAAATAAAATTATTTGATTGGTTGATCCGGTGGAAAATCTCTAGACATCGGTTGCTGTAAGTGGCTGTGTCTAATTGCAATGTGGTCAAACAGGACTCTCCCATGGAGAAACAAGTGGGACGAGGTGATACACGTGTATTAATATAAAATTTTTCTGTCAATATAACTTGTATTATATAAATTAAGGTAAGCATAACATACGATTATAATTGCAATAAAACGCTTTTGAAAAAATATTTGAAATTTATAATTATCAATAAATTCAAGACGAATTTATAACTTATCTAGACATTAACCTAACACCCTTCCCCTTTAATTGTTTATAATTGTAATTTATCAACTCTTTTTTAATTTCAAATAATAATTATGTTATTTGAAATACTTTTAGATGACGCTACAAAGTTTTCCTCGAGGAGGAAAGAAATCCGAAATTAAAAAGACTGTAGATTTGGTAAATATAAAATAATTGTAGATAAAATTAAATAATATAAAAATTTGTGATATTAAATTAATATACATTTCTGTATGATAATTAAAATTTTTTTAAATGGTGATATTTTATTGATATTAATTTTTATGAATAAAAATTTAGTAATGTGATTATATATGAACATCTAATAGTATTTTTAATTTGGCAATGTGATTATATACAAACATCTAATAGTGTTTTTATCTTAGCTTTTTGAGGATAAACATAAACCGCATAAACCCAAGAAGAGTAAAATACAGACAAAGAAAAAAGATGAGAATGTAATTGTAGAGGAAATAAATCTTATTGCTACTACTGCAGATCGTTTATCCAAAATGATGTTACGTGAGGGACTGGTACTTCTTGGACGGGTTTCTGAAATATCAGAATATGATTTATTAGTGTCTATTCCTGGTGGATTCTTAGGACGTATAGTAGCTGCAGATCTTAGTCAGTCATATACAAGTCTATTACAAGAAATAATTGCTTCAAAGGCTATTCAGTCTAATGAATTTAAAACTTTACCAGATTTATATAAATCTGGTGACTATGTTGTATGCTATGTCAAAAGTATTAACAGCGAAGAAAAATGGTTCTGTAGTTTATCTATGGAACCACAATTGATAAATCAGAATGTTTATAGTAATTATCTTGTAAAAGATACAAAAATAATTTGTAGCATCAAGAGCATAGAAGACCATGGCTATGTAATTGATACAGGCATGGTTAACGTTAAAGCGTTTCTTGCTACTGAAGACATTGACAAAGGAAAGCAATATTGTAAGTATAATTCTGTAATATTGAATTAATATTATATATATTGAATTAATATTATGTTATTACATATATACAAAGTGATTTGTTAATATAAAAAATTATAGTTCCAGGTATTCAACTTTTGTGTTCTATCAAAGAAATAAAAACGGTAGATAATGTATCTATTATCAAATTGTCAGCTAAGAAGAAAAAGATTGATAATGTCAGCACGCATGAAATAACATCCTTAGACATTTTAACTCCGGGAACAAAATTGTCTCTTTCTGTAAGAAAGGTGCTCTCTAATGGCTTGCAAGTTACATTTGGAAAGAATAACATAGGATACATAAATCGGATTTACTTGGATAAACCCTTATCTATGTATACAGAAAATATGAAAATGATTGGCACATTGTTATACATATTACCAACTGTGAAATTAGCATATTTTAGTTTATTGACTGACGTATCTGAAAAGGAAAAGTTGCGGATAGGCGACATTATAGACAAAGCCAAAGTTTTATATAGAGAATCTAATGGCATAATACTGAAGTTGTCTAAATCTGGATTACGTGGATACGTTTCTTCGCGAAAAACAAATGTCCCGTTTGACAAAATTCCAATCAAGTTCAAGGAAGGTTCTACGCATAAATGTAGAGTACTCGCATACGGCTGGATGGAACATTTTTACATCTGTACAATGGAAGAAGAAATTTTAAAGCAAAAGTATTTTTCATCCCTTGATGTTAATATCGGCGATATTCTGCCTGTGACTATCACACATATTGAACCTAACTACATACATGTGCAAGCGGGAAAGATTTGGGGAACTGTCTCAATGGAACATATATCTGATGATGATCAGAGTAAACATAAATTAAAAGTCGGAGATAACATCGAGGCGAGAGTCTTGGATAAAGACTATGACACATATAAAAATCATGTGAAGTTTACGCTAAAGCAATCGTTAATAAAAAGTAAATTACCAGTTTTGCAGGATCTTAGCGAAGCTCAATGCGGATCGAAATATCACGGTACGATCAGCAAAGTGAGTAAGAAAGGCTTGTTGATAAGGTTTTATCGGTCAGTGAAAGGATGGGTCCCACGTAATACATTGAACTGGAATACATATTTCTCCTATGGTCAGACAGTTAAGGTATGCGTTGAGTCGGTGAAACAAGACGAAGATAGAATGAAACTGAGAATTATCGAAGAAGAGGAAGAACAACAATCTGTCAGTTTTACGGTTGGAGAAATAGTTGAAGGAATAATAACGGAATCATCCATTAAGGGAATATCTTTGAGGATACAAAAAGAGGATAAAGTTGTAACAGGCTTTTTACCAGCAGGTCATCTGGCCCCGTGTATAGATATCGGTAAATTACTGGCCTCTAAATCTGCTCCCGGGGATCTAATTTCGGCTGCTGTGTTTGCTCCAAAATATATGTCAACTTTAATATTATCACGCACTTTTGTGACAGAGGAAAAATATAAGAATTTTGAATCATTAAAAGTGGGCGATTGCATTCCATGCACAATCCGTGATATCGTTCAAGACGGCGTAAAGGTCATTTTGCCGATCGAAAATTACTCAAAATTTGGATTCGTGTCATACAAGAATATTAGCAATTATGAGCAATTAGTCGAAAATCAGATATTATTCGTTAAAGTTACCGCCATCAATGTACGAGGAAAACTACTGTCTTTAACGATGTCGTTGAAAGATGTGTGTGATAGTCCACTTGATTACAAAGTCAAGTTGATGGCAGCAGTGGACATCCTGAGTTTGTACCTCAATAAATTATCGGAGCTAGCAAGGAACACATTTTACGAGAACAGACCGATCTCGTCGGTAACTCTGGGTCAAAAGATCACGGGCACTGTTACGAAAGTAACTGAACATGGTCTGGTGCTTCAGTTAGATAATCATTTGATGAGTACAGTACGTAAAGATCATTACATTGGTAATCCTAAAGTCGGGGACAAGGTATCTGGTGTGATTTTGTGGAAAGATTACGTCCATGAACTCGTTGATGTATCATTACTACCAAGAATAATCAACAGCATTAGCTCGAAACAAAAAACATTACCAGATTTACCCACTGATGTCATGTTAAAAGGGCAGATCCTTATAATTACTAAGTGGCTGATACTCGTTCTCGTAAAGCGTAACGGTACGGGATATTTGGCGGCATTGCCTGTCCGTCGACACGCTAACGACATTTCTCCCGATTTGACACCTTACAAGATTCACAATAAAATACGATTGTATGTTATAACGAAGGGAGCCGAGTCCGACATTGTTCCAATTTGTATGCTGAAGTCTGCTTTTGAAATTCGGAAAAGAGAGGTCGTAACGGAGTTATCTTCCATCAAAAATAAATCGAAAAAAAGAAAAAAAGTACTCGAGGAAGACGATATGGATCTTGTAGCTTCATCAAAGAAAATATCGAAGAAAGAAAATGAAGATAAAAATGAAGATATAGATGAAGTTGAAAATAAAGTTGAAGTCAAAGTCAAAGAAGAAGAAAATAGAATAAAAGATATAGATGAAAATTCTGAATCTCTCTCACACGAAGAATCTATTAACAAAGGTAAAAATTTAATAAAAAGATTTTCTTTTTTATAAATTTTCTTGATATAAGTTTAATTTAAACTATCTTCTCATTTTGGCACTTTTCTTAAAGTAACGAAACTATTCAAAATAATGAAATTTAAAGTAACAAGAATCAAAAAGTAAAGAATTTCGAAAGTGTGCAAGTATCGAATATTATATATTGACAGATATCCTGATTTCCTATTATTCAAATAATATGCAAGTCTAAAGGATATCTTAAAAATATCTTTATTAAAACATCTTTAATTTTTACTAAAGATCTTTCAAATTTTTTCAAAAAACTGAAAGATTTTCTTTTATAAGAATGTTAGGTAACAAGCTAACATTATTTGTTGTCATCATTTTGATGACATTAGACGAAATCATTTTGACGAAAAAGATGATGACAAATAACATTAACTCATTATCTGCGATTTTTTGAAATTTGTAAATTCATTAAATTTTAAGATAAGGGACTTAAACTAAATATTTACTTATATTTTTATTAAAATATAAAAGGAAAATCTGAAAAAATGATTGTTTACTGAAATTTCATTTTACAGAAGAAGATGAAATGGAGGAGGAGGAGGAACCGGTAATAGAAAAATCGCGTATTCCGGAATGTGGATTTTCTTGGGACGACAAAGCAAATTTGACTGCTACCGCCAATATCGAAACATCCAGTGACGACGAAGAGGAACCCGAAGAGGAACCTAAACGGAAGAAGAAGAAATTGAGTGCGGCTGAGCGGCGGGAGCAAGAACGACAGAAGGAACGTGAGATCCGTCAACGGGAAGAAGCTCTGGCAAGCAATCAGATGCCCAATTCAATCGATCAATTCGACAAATTGGTTTTGTCGAGCCCCGACAGTTCATTGATATGGCTGCAGTATATGGCGTATCACCTGCAAGCCACGGAGATCGACAAGGCAAGAGCGGTTGCAAAACAAGCTATCAAAACAATCAATTTTAGAGAAGAGAACGAACGATTGAACGTGTGGAATGCATGGTTGAATCTTGAGTCCAGATATGGTACCGCTGAATCCTTGAAGGATGTATTCCAGGAAGCCGTTAGGACGAACGATGCTTACAAAGTATACTTGCACATGCTAACTGTACACGCGGAGGCTGGTAGAACGACCGAGCTCGAAAAATTGGTCAGCACTGTAATCGCCAAGTTCAAACAGAATCCTCAGACGTGGATAGACTGTGGCAGCGCGTTGCTGAAAATCGGTATGAAAGAAAAGTCGCGACAAATCATGCAACGGGCATTACAATCCCTGCCCGCATCTCAGCGTATGTATATATGCGTATATATCCTAATGTACACTTTATTTTAATGTGATAATCTTATATTTTAAAATTGCGTTGGCAGATGTAAATCTTCTGGTAACCTTTGCAAATTTGGAGAATAAGCTAGGAGACAAAGAACGGGCATATACGTTATTCGAGAACGTCCTGAGCTCTTATCCCAAACGTGTTGATGTGTGGTCATGTTACGTGGATTGCTTGATAAAGTCTGAGAACATTGATGTAGCTAGGTACATACTTCCATATTATTATATAAATACATTATAACAGTAATAATAAAGAGAGAAAGAGTGAGGAAAAGAGAGAAAATTAAGATATATAAATTTAAAGCATTTTTTTATGCATTACTTAATGACATTTGTATGCAGGAAAGTGTTGGAACAAGCCAGTGTCCTGACATTACCATTGAGAAAAATGAAGGTCCTTTTCTCAAAATATCTTGCTTTCGAGGAAAAATATGGTACACCCGAGGCTGCAGATCGTGTACGGCAGATGATTGCGGATTATGTAAAGAGATTGTAAATAATATTCTCTTTTTATAAATAAATGTTAATAAATGTTTTTATAACGTCTATTAGTCATATTTTTAGGATATCTTAAAAAGATTGTTCGGTAGATATTTAAAGAGATGTCTGTGAGGCTTGACTAAAGAACATCTTTATTTAACAGTATTCATTCGTATAATCAATCTTTATTTAACAGTCCATTCGTATAATCAAAGAATTTGTCTTGTATAATCAAAGAAATTGTTTTGACTTGCATTTCCTGCATTCACTGCTGTATTTACAATGCTGTATGTTTCATGTTTTAGGTGCAAAAAATATTAAGAAGTGTAAGCAACGTGAACAAATTCATTAGTGCAAACTCAAGTGTACTCCATTTAATATTCGCTCAGAATCTTTCCATCTTTGGCTGTGTTCTAAATTGATTGCCAGCGTTGAAAATTTATAGTTCACGTGACATACACTATACATTTTCAATACTCACAATCAATTTTGGAACATAACCTTTGCTGTTTACCAAATATCAAACAGGTCTTTTCTTTTTTAGCTAAACTTTTTACACCGTTCATCTTTCTTCTTTCCAATGCAGAAACAAAGAGAGAAAAGAGCAAGTTTAGTCAAAAAGAAGAGGCTTACGAACAAACAATGATCGCGAGCATTGTAAATGTTAAATCGAATCTATCTTTCATCAATGAATGCGTCATAATCGTAGCTTCGAAACTGCCCTAATGAGACTGGGCGTGTGTTTAGGTTCTCCTAAAAAATTCGTTAGTTATCACTGAATTATAACAATTGAATTTTTAATATATTTTCATTTTTTTAAATGATATAACACAATGAAACGCTGGTTATATATATTCCCAATTATAATGTGCCTCATATGGCATGGTAAGTTTTATCAATTTCTGCCAAAGTTAAACATCATGCTAGCACGAGAGTTAATAAACTATAATGCTTTTTCATTAAATTTATTTCCTAAATTTAACATTCATTATATTTTATTTATATATAAATTGTATATTTTTAGTGACTCCAGATTAAATTAGAGTAAATTGAAAGATTTAATATATGTATCTTATTTAAAATATTTTATATATAAGAAAAACTGTATACATATTTATTTATTTATTACTAAATTCTACTTTATATATTACTTTATATTAGAATATATTGGCGTATTATTGTACTAATATAAATATGAAATTGTTTGACAGTTATAAGTCAAAATATAAATGGTTGCCAAATCCCCCTGGTGATTAGGGGTTCTTGGTTTTCATGGGAGAATGGCAGGAATACATTAACAGAAATAAACGCTAATAGTATGACTGGACGAGGCTTGTGTATAAATATGAAAGAAGAATATCATGTTAATTATACGTTTGTATTTCGTGATTCTAATACTCCAGCCAGCTTTGACAGCTGTTATCATTGTGTAAAACTGCTCGTTAGGACAGTAAATGTTTTGGAGAAACTCGAAGGCAAGTGACAAAGTTAGCTGTGTTAATTAATCTGAGAAATTTTTTATATAATATATAATAGTTTTCATAGCAGGGAAATACATAATCCATGAATACATTTAAATCTTAGCATTTTTTTGCAGTGAGTTGCGTGAACTTACCCCATAACATAGAACCTTCTGTGGAAAATGTCTGTACAGGTTTGAACGCGAATCAACACTTGATAACATTATTCTCTGAAAATTATGTACCTGTAAACTGTAGATCATCTCTGGAAGGAGTTTGGCAGTTTGCTTATCAAGTAAGATAAAGAAAATTACACAACATGCTCTATGCATTATATAAGATAAACTCATCTCTGTATATTATTTCAGAATCGCTTTAGGTTTACAGGAGAGTGCAATCATCCAGATGCACAAATAAAATCTTGTCAGACCGCGGGAACTCAGTTTCTTATAACCAATCAGAAATTCAATATTACTTATAAAAGATGTTCAGGAATGAAAGGAACCTTTGATGGATGTAATTAGGTTTTTTTAATTTAAAATTAATTCTTTCACCTTTTAATGCCAGAAAGAAAAAAAATATAGATATCGTTTCTTTTCAGTGGTAGAATACAGTTGTTTGGGTGATTGGTTCGTCGACAAGAATCACTTTTTCGCAGTAGCAAATACAAAAGAGTCCCGGAAGGATGAGAAATATAGATGCTTTTTGAAAAATCGCGATGATGATTTGTATATCGGTGTATCAATCACCGCTGAGTGTAATACTCTTAAAACTGTCGAAAAAAGTCCCGAACGTTTGCGTATCACACCAGTTAAGGCCGAGGTAGTCGAACCTGGTTGCCGTTTACCCGAGGATATGTCCGGAAATTGGATAAACACTGCCAATATCGACGCAGATATTTTTATCAATGAAACGCACATAATTGAAACTTGGTATCCAGACGAGGGGCGTTATCGACGAACGATTTACGTTTGTCGCGAACAAAGAGACTCGAGAGTAATGATGGCGCGATTGACTGTTGATGGATGGTACGTTTATTAAGTAATTTCTAAGAAAAGTATTTTTTTATTTGTGTAAAATTAAAATTCGTCGAAAATACTCTTATGCACTATAAAGATACATTCTTCTTGTGTTAATGCGTTAATTAAAATATGTTTACAGCCAGAAGGATTATGTTTGTTTTGATTTTGTACGACGACATCACAATATTATTCGATACCGACGTGGAATGGCAGTGATAAAAGATGATTTCCATACAGTATGTTCTTGGGTCCAGTTTCCCAACAAGGAATCATGGAAATTCGATCTGTTTTTAGGTAATTGTGATATAAATTTAGATATCCATTGTATTTCTGGCGATTAGTAATCAGTCTTACTATATTATTTTTTGACTCTTAGCAAAAAATCCCGTCCCGGTACGCTGTCCGGTAGCTGGTAAATACATGTTCCATCAAAAAGGAGACGTTCTTTTTGAGACAAGAATTCTAGGCGGTGTTACGAAATCTCCACGACCAAATATTTATTGTAAACAGAATATCTCCGATTTCTCGGTTTGCAGTACCGATCAAAAAGAGATCGCAATCGATGAGACGTATTGTTTGTCTGTGGATCATTTAGGAAAACCGGTCGACATTTACAGTAAGTCTTAATATTTCGTATAGCTATTATGTATATAGTTCTATTGACGATATTATTTTTATAGGCGATCCGGATTACATAATGAAGTGTATCGGATATTGGAAGGAAAATTTAAAATCATATCTAATAACATACGATGAATTGGATCCTTTCAGCAAGTATCGCTGTTGGGTATATCAGAGAGCTGATTTGAATAGAGTGCTAATGTCTCAGGCTATCGGTCCATTTTGTGATCTCAAGCAAGACGTAATGAGTCAAAATTATACGGAAGGCGCCGCGGTTGCGCTGGAATTACAGGTGAGAAAAAAATATGTTCCTCAAATATAAATTGATAATAATTCCAAATTAATAATAATTTCCAAATTATTGATATAATTCCAAATTAAATTGCGTCAATGTATTGTTCATTGATAGGAATATGAACGAGAACGCGATCAATGTCCGATGCATTTTGATGATGGAAGTAATCCGTGGGTGCAAACGGAGAACTTCGTCAATGTCTTCCATTTTGGTAACGGCGGTAATAGGAATCATTTTTCACTTTCGATTATCATATCATTAGTAATAACACTTTATTTTAAAGACAAGTAATTCTTTATATAAGGATGAAATCATTTATTTTTACACTAATATCATACACGTTCCGTCCATTTATAATTGTAACCAAATATTGTAAAGTTATATGTGTTAACACTTCACACATGTAGACTCGAACACTAATTTTGTATAAGTAGACAATAATAGCATAATGCGACATATCGAAAAAATCCGTCCACGAAGAATCTCTTATCTAAATGAATGCTTTCTACTTTATGCATTCGTTTTATTATGTTCATATAACAAATCATAAATTGTAAGACTTGAAATTAAATTGTAGACTAATTTAATTTCAAATAGAATTATTATATATTTTAAATATTTTTATCTAACAAAAAAATTGTAAAAGATTTTAAATTGAGTGTATGAGATTTATATGTATTTTTAAATATTTTAATTATTTTAGATTAGTAAGATAGAATGCATTCAGTAATTTTACCAAATGTAATTGACCATGTTTTTATATATTTTTTACAACAAGTACAAGTTCTTTTGTAATGCCTTAATAATTTTCATATTTATCTTATATTTAAGATAGAACTTATTTAATCCTTAAGTAATTAAAACTAAACAAATAAATGCCAATATTAAGACAAAATTTATCAGTAGATTTGACATGTTTAGTCCAAAATTTTCTCTTCAAAAAAAGGAACAAAAAAAGATTTGACTTAATATAAATACTTAAGGATTAAAATAATGCCATGATTATATATAAAATGTTCATGTTTTTATCTTAAATTAAAATTGTTTATAATACATATGTACACATATAAATAAATTTGTTGAGAAACATCTTGGTGTTCATTTCGTCCAGCTCACTTTAGGTATGTCAAAGTGTTCAGTTAAGCTATCCAAATGTCGATTAAATTCCTCCACTCGTTGTTTATGAGTCTTGGAAGCTTTCTGTTTGATTCTTTCGGTTTGCTAGAAATTATTATAACGTCAGTAAAAGTATTTTTTTTAATTTGTAGATTATCATTATTAAATATTATGCATACTTACCATTTTCTCTTGCATTTTCTGAAAAGCTAGCTCTGCTTTCGTCCGTTTCACTTCCACTTTTTGAGGTTTCTCTTCCTCAATGATCTTCGATACCTCCACCAGCTTTTTCTTCTTCCCTTTCTTATCTTTTTTCCTAAAAAAGGAAAACAAAAAAAAAGAAAACATGTAATTTATCTCGATTAAATTTATTTTAATGGAAAAAATAATAATGTATTTAAAGTCACACAATGAAAATAAATATTAAATGACCTAACCTCAAAGAAGTGAAAAAATACCTACTTCTTGCTCACTGTTTGATCGCTCTTCAATTTCAGAGCGCCTTTCGCAACATGCGCATACGGATCGTCCTCGACGTTCGTCGCAGGCATCGTTAATTAATAGTATTTAATCGGATACCAAATAAACAATCACACGAAAATTTCTCTTTCAATTTGAGGATCCTATCACGAGCGCAACCTCTGCTTTTAATGAATAAGAACATCGCACAGTGCGCCTCTAGTAGAGGCTGGGATCAATTAAATGAATATGACGTCCGCCAATAAAATTTATTTTATTAAAGCTCTTTCTCGCTTTCTGATTGGTCGAAATCTGTTGCCTGTTGCTATTCTTGTTCCTGTCATATCTGGCATGTCTTAGGAATTTTTTAGTGGTTTAACCAATTAGTATTGACCAATTGGCAACGCGGGCAATCAGGTGTCACTCGAATTGCGTTTTTTTCGTCAATTTAAAAAAATGTAACATAACCTCCGAAAAACGACTTGGTAGGTATAATTATGATTAAAGATTTGAGACTTTGAAGCTCTATTCTTGTATTTATTCTTAGTAATTGCATTTTCTTCCTCGTTCACAAATATCATTATCACATAAATATTTTTATATTGACATTTTTAAATATTCTGAGTAATGTTTGTATATTGATATTTCTTATACATGTTTTGTGATGTGTACGTGCTCTTGCAAATTTTGTCAATTTCCCTAAAGATTAACTGAAATGATTTTGCTTCTATTGCAGTACTTAAAAGAATGTGGCCCCTCATAGTAAGATCTTTGGGCAAATTTGGTAAATATATTACACTTCCTTTCGTGGGTATTATTGGATTTGTTGGATATAATGTTGAGGGATGGATATCTGATCGGTATACACCACCCACAAAACCTATCACGCAACAACGGCAGGAGAGGTTATTGGAAAATATAGATTCTTCAACTACCAAGAAACATAATCCTTTAGAAGTCAATCTTTCACCATCGTTATCTAGTTAGATGTATCCGCTAATTGTTTTCATATAATATGAAAGATAATTACAATTATAAAGTCTGAATAAATTGTTAATTGATATGAAAAGATACATTGTTGAGTTTAACAATGCAATTATAAACATTTTTTTTTAATTATAGAAGATCGATGATATATAATTATTTATTGCTTGATATTCTAAAGAAGTTATCAAATATGAAATTTATTGGATGATTGCGTTCAATCTTCTCAATAATGTAATGGATTATATAATTTTTTCTCCTTCTGTTTAAAAAGATAAACAACACACGTGCAACACACGTTCGTAGTATCTAGTAAATAAAATTTAGCATTTTAAAACTAAAAGATAAAAAAAATGTTCTAATTTCATATTTCAGTACGGCACATTCTCTTCTAAAGTATCTTCTAAAGAATAAAGATCTGATCTTTCAAGAATTTATAATAGAAGATAAAAAATACATTATTTTTCTATTCCAAATTTGTACACGACAATGTGATTGTATATATCACCTGGTCGTAATAGGCTATTTGGAAAATTTTTATGGTTTATGGCATCAGGATAGTTTTGTGTTTCCAAACAAAAGGCGGCGTGTCTGAAATACTGCACTCCGTTTTTACCCGAGATACCAGTCTCGGGTATAAAGTTGGATGTATAGAACTGAACACCCGGTTGATTTGAATATACTTCCAAGCGGCGTCCTGAGGCTGGATGTAATACTTTAGCGACAAAACTGATTTTCCTTTGATCATGCGGTTCTGGCAAACAAAAATTATAATCGTAACCATCGCCCGGTACTTTGTCGATAACTTCACCAAGTGTCGTTAGGTTCCTAAGATCCATCATGCTGTTCTCGACAGACCGAATCTCGCCAGTAGGTATATTTCCGGAATCGGTAACAGTCCAGCGATCGGCGTTCAATGTGAATACATGTTTATACAACTCTTCCGCATTCGTGGCCTGAAAAAGAAAATTGCGAATAACAACTCGTAATTAAATTTCTCATTGGTTTCTTGTTTGACTATAATTCTCTGATATAAAAATATTTCAAAGTAATCTATAGCATTCATTGATGTCTTTCAATATATCGTGTTAGAAAAAATACTTCCTTAAAGATGAACAAATTTTTTGATCCTTGCACCGAGTTAAAGATGAATGATATTACATACGTGCCCAGCGAGATTGAAGTAACTATGGTTCGTCAAATTAATCGGCGTCGCTTTGTCGGACTTGGCTTTCATCTCTATTCGCAGCTCTCCATCGTCATTTAGTTGGAAGGTGGCTGTTGTTGTTACTGATCCTGGATAACCCTCATCGCCGTCTGGACTGACTAAAGTCATCACCACGCGATCGTCATCGACTGCTGCATCCCATACCTTCATACTCCAACCATTAATACCGCCATGGAGACTGTCTTCGCCTATATTCTTTGATACATTATAACGTTGACCATCCACGACGAAAGTTGCCTTGCCAATACGATTCGCGACTCGTCCGATGGTAGCACCAAAGTACGGATTATTCGATGATAGATATCCTGAAATATAATTATCGTACTTCAATCGAACCGAACTATTGTTCCTCAAGGAAATTTCACGTATTCTTGTGAATTTCCATACATAACATGAATAATTTCTTTATAAGAGTACCTTCGATGTTATCAAAACCGAGCACTATGTCCGTTATGTTACCCTCTTTGTCCGGCGTTCTGATGGCAGTTACTGTCGCACCATATGTCACAACATCGACCTCATAACAAGCTTTGTTCCTCAACGTGAATTTCTTGATCTCCTGACCATTCACAGAACCCCATGTTGAAGTTGTAATGGGTCTTTGCACCATTGTAGCCATGCTCATTCTGAAAAAAAAAAAAGAGAAATTAGAATTGATAACAAGTTACTGTAAAATAATCCTTATAAACAATTCGTCTTTAAAATCTCGATGTATGTTTATTGATATCTTCGATTTGCAAATGCAAAATATGAGCTGCAAGTTTCTAGCCAATATAAGATGTGTTTCACAAGAATGAGCCGAAAGATGAATATCCTTTAAGAACTCTTAAAAATGATTCAATTCGCAATCATTGTGAAGATAAGCCATAAATTAGTAATGCCTATTGGTGATAATAAAAAAACGCCTTGCAATATAAAAATATTATATCGTCCCGACCGAGCTAACTAAACTGTTACAATGTCGCGAGATGCAACTCTTATCTTAAGAATATAACTATAAACTCATCACGTAATAAGTAACGCGATAACGATAATATTTACCACATTGAAATAAAATGATAATCTTCCTTTGACTATAATTTAAATTCTATCTTTAATCTAACTTAAGAGAAAAAACATCTCTACGTTAATACGTTTTTCAAAACTTGATTAAAAAATGTGTACAAAATTTTATATTTAACCAATGTGATTTCCTTCAATTAATAAGATATAATGAATTTTTAATTTATCGTGCTGTTGATAAAATAAAAAGATATTGATAGAATATATTACAAAAAATGCACACTCTCTCCGTTGTCAATCTTCAGTTGGCAACAGTCGGGAGTAAAAATCATATTTATAAATATAATTATAAATTAAGATACTCTGATATTGATCGATATCGAAATTTCGATTCTTAAATCTTTAATTTTTGAATATTCGCAATTTTTTAAAGGAAAAGATTCTTTAAAAAGACAATTCTTCAGACTTTCAGACATTTCTTTCTTTGTAATGGTAAGAATGTTACTTTTTTTAGTAACTGTAACGAATTTAATAGTTTTTTTTTATTGTTACTTTTTATTTTATAAGGGATAGAAAATAAAATAAGAGGATAAGGGATAGATAATAAAAGGCGAATTTGTTTCTTACCCAAGCCAAGAAGAAAGAATCAAAAATACAAAAAGACACATTTTTAATAAAAAAATTTCAATAATTCTGTTATCAATTTAATATATATATATCTATAAGACAGAGTGTCTGTTTCACAGATTATCACGGCAAATAACACACTAAACAAGGAATGAAGCGCGATCTGCAACACGATCTGTCCGCAAGATTTTTTTTCTGATTTTTTTTATTCGTACCACCTGCTATCTTTGAATTCACAAGCGTGTAGAATATGCACGAGTGATCATGCATGACAGTTTCACACCTTGGAATGCACAAGGCCGTATTTAATAGAGATCTTGGAAAAAAA